TGTGATCAAATATATACAATCAAGCCATATACAGTATAAATAGGAAATAATCCATGAAAGGAAGGCACTAGATTAAGAGGGGTAGGGAAAGGCTTCTTGGGAAGGGCTGTCTTCCCCACCCCACCCCCAGAATTGGCTTTGGGAACTGTGATAATCACAACCTAACAATTTCATGTTTTCATTCCTTGGGAAATTGTAGGAAGGAGGAATAGGAAGGTGTGGGGATGAGATTCAGCAGGGCTATTTGAATTAATATAAATAAACCTAGGAATTAAGCTATTGTAATTCTATGTATTATGGCAGGGGGAGGGGATAATAGACAACTCATAATAACAGTAACAACTAATATTTATGTAGTGTTCACTACAAATATTCTTATTTGAATCTCACAACAGCCCTGGGAGGGTGGGTGCTATTATCTCCATTTTAGAGATGAGGAAACTGAGGCAAACAGAGTTTAAGTGACTTGCCCGGGGTCACACAGCTAATGAGTATCTTATTTTGACACTTTGAATTCAGATCCTCCTGACTTCAGGCCTGCAGGTAAGGTGCCACTTACCTGCCCCGCTACTCGTGCATGATCAGTGTAGGCTACAATTAGAACGAATCCCAGAGCTACTGACATATTCTGGATTTTTCCAGGTTCTTTTTCGTTGGATCATTTGCAAATTTGGATTGTGGTTTTATGATCCCTACTCCTGTCAGTGCCTCAAAGAGAGCTTAAAGATCTTTTGCCTTGAGAAAAACCTGTAGTGCTCTGGATAGGAAAGGGAACAAAAACCTTGAAACAAAGAACTGTTGGGACATCACCAGGTTGCAGGATCAAATCCATAATCACAGAATGTTATTGTTAATAGTGGCCAAGGTTCTAAACTATGGGCCTGGCTAATAATTTTCTTGGGTTCGTTGACATAAATTTCATTTTTTGAGTGCTATTTCATTCACTTCCTCCCCCAACCTTAACTCCAGCTCTGCCTTAACCTCATGTTATCTAGGGAATTTTCAGCCTCTTGTGCCATGTTTTTCTGCCTGACTCTTTGTGCCCTCATTTGAGGTTTTCTTGGCAAAAATACTGAAGTGGTTTGCTATTTGCTTCTCTAGCTCATTTTAGAGATGAGGAAACTGAAGCAAACAGGGTTAAGTGACACAGCTAGTAAGTGTCTGAGGCCAGATTTGAACTTGGGAAGATGAGTCTCCCTGACTTCAGGCCTAGCACTCCATCTGCTGTATCACCTAGCTGGCCCCTTTGGTGCCATAAGGTTGAGAATAGGGCAGTCTTTGATCTTATGGGAGGGAGGATTTCTGTTACTTGATGCTACATAATTCTTTAGAAGGATAATGAGGAAGGTGTGGTTTTACTGTTAAGAGATAAAGGTGGAGGTTAGGCTCTCATAGGCAAGCAGGGAAACTGCTTGGCAAAAGGTCTTGTAGGGATTTTAAGGCTAATGTGCAGGTAAAGTTAAGTGGGAAGTATTGTGCTAGTGTCCTTATGGCCTGCTGGCAGACAGAAGGCTTTTGGGGATGTGATGATACTGGGATATGAATGGAATAATTTCTGCATGTGTGATTCATAATAAAGGATGTACAGTATAGAAGAATTGTAAGCTTGGTTTCCTCGTATATAAGGATTTTAGTTTCATTTTGGTTTGCTGTTCCTTCTCTGGGCTAGCTAACTTAGCAGGGCTCATCAGTAATTAGGTCATGACTATGGCCATTGTGGAAGTAACCTACTACTTGAGAATGGTTATCAGTCTATAACCCAGAGTCTGGTTGTAGCTAAATTGCTGCTGGCCATTTGGAATTTATACTCTGCAATAGAACTGGAAGAACCTCAAGTATTATCCAATCCAACCCTGTAATTTTACAGATGGGCCTGGGCAAACTGAGGCCCACAGAAGTAAAAAGACATGTTCAAAATCACACAGCTAGGGAATGACACATTTTAGGTTCACTGCCTACCAGTTTAGTGCTTTTTCAAGTTCAGTCAGATATCTGATTAAGGGCTTACTATGTTGCAGGCATTCTGCCAAGCTCTGGGGGACACAAAGAAAGGCAAAAATGCTGTCCCTGTCCTCAAGGAGTTTGCATTCTAAGAGAGGAGAGAAAAAGAAAACAACTGTTAAAATAAGATTCTGTATCTATAGCTATATCTAATCTGTGTGTGTGTCTCATGGAGCTCATAGAGGGGAGTAAAGTATAAAAAAATTGGAAAGGTAGGAAGGGACCAGGGGATGAAGGGCTTAAAAAGCCAAATAGGTTTTTGTATTTGATTCTGGAAGTAATGGGGGAGTTGGGGGGGAGGGGAGAGATAACAAGGTCAGACTTGTGCTTTAGGATGATCACTTAGATGAGTGAAGTATGGACCAGAGTGGGGAGAGACTTGAGGCAAAGGAGTCCAGCCTGCAGGTTATTGCAATAATCCAGGTGTGAGACAATGAAGACCTATACCAGGGTAGTAGCAGTGTCAGAAAAGAATGGCGGGGCATATATAGACAGACCTTTGGAATGTAGAATCGCCTTGGCAATGGCTTGCACATGGAGAGTGAGAGAGAGTGAGGAGTCAAGGACGACACCCAGGTTGGGAGCTTGGGTGGCCAGGAAGATGGTGGTTCCTCCAGACAAATAATAGGAACATTTGAAGAGGAAGGGGTTTTGAAGGGGAAAAGAAGTTCAGTTTTGGATGTAGTGAGTTTAGAATGACACTTACTTTGTCAGAACATCTAGGTCCAGATGGTCACTAAGGCAGTTACCAGACTGGAAGTCAGGAGAGATAAGCAGGTCTGAGAATCATCTACATAGAAATAATTTAATCCAAGAATTGATTAGAACACCAAATGAATCTTTTATTGAGGTTCCGCCAAGCCTTGGGGGTAAGAGGACAAGCAAGGGAGGGAAAATGAAAACAAATATGTGGAAGCAAAATATAATGGAGTAGAGGGTGATTGATAGTGTGAAAGGCTGCAGAGAGGTCTTGAAAGAGAAGTATTAAGAAAAAGCAATTCGATTTGTCATATTAAGAGAATCTGGTAACTTTGGAGGCAGCAATTTTAGTTGAATAATGAACTATAGAGGGCTTAGAAGGGAGATTTAATAATAGCATTTGTATAGTGTATACTATATAGTCTGCTGTGTATGCACTGTGCTAAGGGCTTTGCAAATATTATCTCACAACAACCCCGTAAGGTAGGTGCTGTTATTATTCCCATTTTACAGATTAGGAAACTGAGGCAAACAGAGGTTAAGTGACTGAAATAAATAGCAGGTACCTAAGATGAGTAAAAAGATAGGAAGAAAAGGCATCTATTATAGAAAGCTTTCTCAATCAGTTTTGCTACAGAAGAGTAAAGAGATATAGGATGCTAGCAGGGATGGTTGGATCGATTGAGAGTATTTTTTTTTTAAAGATGGGGAGACATGGTTATGTTAGTAGGCTGCATGGTAGTAGCCCATATATAGGGAGAGATGGAAGATTTACGGTGCATAGTCTGGTGGGATGGAATAGGATCACCTGTGGGCATAGATGGTTTTCCTTGTCAAGGAAAAGAGCTGCTTCTTGTGGAACTTGGTTGAAGGAAGAGATGGTGGGGGAAGATATCTGAGTTATGTGACACGAGGAGAGGGAAGTCTTAGGAAATTGTAGTAATTTTTTTCTGTAAAATATGAGGCCAGATTCTCAGCCTAGGGTATGGGGAAGGGAAGCTGTGAGAGGTTTGAGGAGGGTTGAAAACTTTGGGAAAAGCTATTGTGGTGAGTGAAGTGAGGGCCTTAATGGCTGGAAAGTTTAATTTGTTGAATTCATCTTTGTATCACCTTAGTGAATTATATGAATGAATTTAAAAACGAGCTCTTACTATGTCCTAAACACTGTGCTAAACTCTGGGAACACAAATAGAAAAAAATGAGTTAGTTTCTACTTCCCAGGAACTCAGATTCCAGTTGAGAAGACAACATTTTGAAACTTTGTGCTATGAGATGGTAAGGCTCAGGAATCTTTAGGGTCACCAGAAGGTCAGATAAATAGTGTCCAGGGGTATGTAGGAGATAGGGATGGACCATATAGTAAGTCCTGGATGACTTAGGGTCAGGCCAGAATGCTAAGTCCTGGTGATCCTCCATCTCACTGGAAGTCTTGTGACTCCTAATTTATACAAGTAGTGTGAACAGCCAAGTAGCTTTTCCTCTTGTTGGAAGAAAAATATTAGTTCTGTACTCTGTATTTTAGTGCAAATTTGCCATAGACAATGATTAACTGAACATTCTATATGAAGCATTTCTAGAATAGAGAAATATCAAAATTGGCATAATTCTCATGCCAGCTACATCCCATCCTCTACATCTCTATCCCAAGACCATTTGAGGTAACTTTTATAGGAATTTTTAACCAGGAAAAGGTTATAGTAAATTACAGTTTGGGATTAAACGTTCCAGAATTGTAGTCACTTACTCTTCAACTAGAACTACTGAGTTTCTGAGGTTCTAGATCAATATCTTAATCCTTTGTGAATGGTATCAAGTGGATTGTTCTATATCCTGGGGGCAATTATTGTTGTTAGGGGACTTCCTTAGGTGTCTCAATAACCCAATCACCAGGCTGAGGAGAAAGAGGAAGAGAAAGCCATGATATTAGTCTTTTACTTTCTAAAGGCCTTTTGTTCTTGATTTGCCCATTTTGTCTAAGAAGATATAAGACTGGAAAGTTCTGGAGCTAATTTTTACCTGGATGGCAAAGCAAGTAAAACATATTGGAGAGCTGGGCAGCGGAGGGGTACTTACTATAGTTTGAACAGCTGCAGCATGTCTGAAAAGCCAGAAGTGACACCAGAGTTGACATTAGCTCCCCTCCCCCTTCCTCCTCATTAGCCCCCAAGCTAGTTCTAAGTGTGAGCTGCTGATCCATGTATGGCAGGGATACTGGGAATAATGGGGTTGGTTGGCGTGCAGTTAAATGAAACAGAGATGTCATTAAATCCATGCTAACCTTCTCTTTTCTGTGTCACTAGGCTGGTGACCATGGCATACCAGGTCCTCCTCCCATCAAAGGTATTCCTACTGGGCATAGTGCTTTGGCTGCTGGCATCTGCGTACATCTCTTCATGCCATAATAATCAGGTCCAGGTAAGTGTTTGATTTATGAACAAGAAGAAACCTAGAACTGGGCTAGAGAAATCACTGGCATTTCTTGGGGCTGCTAGAGGAGAGAATTACCTTTATTTCTACTAACTTAAATGGTTGAGACAACATTGGGTGGGTACAGTTCGTTGCTGCTTGCCTGTGGCATGTGCACACACACATACACACATATACATATACAAATATATATGTATATATTTGTGTATGTAAATGTATATATAGCTTTTGTCTGATGAGAAGTTTCTGAAAGTTGTATCTTAAAATCCAAAGATGAGGAAGCTCATGATTCTAATGGAGGTGAAAGACTGCAGATAGAGGTCCTTCAAATTCAAGGAAAGACTCTATTTCTCTTCTGTCCCTTTCTTTTTGTCTCTTTTTTTCCTTCTGTTTTCTCTCCCTTTCTTCTGTCCTTTCTTCACTGACGTAGCTTCCACCACAGCTGGCATCCCATTACCCTGGGAAATAGCACACGAAACACAGTATTCTCTTGGGCTTACTTTTCCTTTACAATTTACTTTCTGCCCTTGACCATGCCACTGCCTTAGAGTGAAGCCTTTATTGTTATTTCTCTGATAGTCTCACCCTCCCTTGCCAACTTGGGTCCACCCACATGGAGTCCTCCTGAGGCTCCATCTTCTAAGCACTGGGTAAAGTGCTTCCAGGCTTTCCAGTGAGAGGCCCTTAAAGTACAAATGACAATTGTGATCAAAGTAATAAAAATCTTTAGTGCTGCCAAGGTTCACCTTTGGCTCATGGCAGATTTTCTCCTTGCTTCTGAAATCATTTGTTTTCTCCTTTGTCTCTCACCCCTGCTTTGTAGTTAAGCTAGAGAGAAAATGTGTTCTCCAGACTCATTTGTCCCTTTGAACTTTGAATGCTGTCTCATGAAGATCCTTTCAGAGTCATTTTCATTATCATCCTTAAAGGGGAATAGAAATGGGATTACAGTGTCCCTGTTCTGAGAATTGTCTATGCAGTGTGATTTTGTGTGTGTGTGTGTGTGTGTGTGTGTGGTCATAGGATAGGAGTCCTAGCTATGGAGTGCCTGGCCTAGCTGGCCTTTGGATGCCCACGGGAAGGATATTGAAGGACGGAGATGGGGTTGTTTCCCTGTTCTTGCCCTCTTGAAAATGAGTTAGTTTTATGTTTCCCAGGTTTGTGAGGATTCCCTCCCTCCTCTCTGAGCTTTAACAGATGCACAATTAACAAAGGCGTGCTGATGAATTTACTTAAGGACTTCGTGTTATTAAGTCCCTTTTGGATAATAGTCCAACCAAATAGATGAGCTCTCAGAGCAATAATTATTCTGGCCCATTTATATTAGCTCTATTGAGTCTAGTCTCAGAAAAAATGTTAATACTGACTTTCATCAACAGAAGCTGCTTTTATCCTTATGGCTGTTCCTAAGCTGTATCCATTTGTCATAATCTTTCATCATGTGCTAAGCACAAGTAGGAGTTGAAGTGTCTTTTCTCTCATACCATAAAAATTGCTGTCCTGGTGGCATTTAAAATCCAAATTATGCAGTCAGCCACCTTCACAACAGTAAAAATGGATTGTTAATGATATATTCATGGGTGCCCAGAGCCCAGGCTAACAGTACCAACAACCTGAAATTGCACTTTCCCAAAGGCATTTGTGCAAACCGTTGAAAACCTTTCAGAAAGGCTGAGTGTGCAGATTAAGGAAGGCTTCTGCTTCTTGTTCCTCAATGGCCCTAGCCTCCCTTTCTCACACCTTCTGGGGGCTGGGTGAAATCCTACAAATCTGATCCTTGAAGGATGGTCAGGTAGTATAGAGGAGTGTAGAATACAATATAATAAAATATATATTTAAGTGCCTGCTTTGTGCCAGGCACTGGGATAATAAGCCCTGGGGATATAAGTAAGAAAAAAGACTGTTTCTGTCCTCCAGGAGCTTGGGGTCTAATGTAGGAAGACAACACACACAAAAGGAATGGAAAATGAGGTGGGGGTGTGTGGGGAGGGTGGGGCCTGAGGGGAGAGATACCCAATGGGGTGGGGGGGAAGAGGGCATCATCTTCTGGAGTTCAGACCAAGTAGAACTGCTGATGGAAAGTGGAGAGTTAGCCCAGTGAGAATACAATTGTGTCTGAATGTTGTCATCCATGGTGAAGGGACTGCCCACTGATACAAAGTTCAGGTTTATAAATTGGCAGCTGCCTGAATATTGTAATCTAAGAGGTTTCCATACTTAAGTATCTCTTTGATTGGTTTCATATTTGGCCTATTATTCCACCAGGAGAGATTTATTCCTTTAAATGAAAGCTTGGTCCCCTGTTAAAATGTGAATGTCCTTGGAGGTCTGGAAAGTATTAAGCCATTATCATCCCTTAACTTCATAAAGAGTAGTTTATCTGATTACTTTTCTTCTCACTGCTAGTTGAAAGCTGGGCCTGGAGAGTATAAGAAACAGGCGAGAGGGCATGTCTGAGTGGGGGGATTTTGGAAACCAGATAGTCAGTAGAGGGGATAGAGGGTTATCATTACATTCACATAGAACTTACATTCACATAGAACATACATTCTGTGTTAGAAAGGACAGTAGAGATAATCTGTTCTAGCCATCAAATCTTATAGATGAGGAAATAGTACTGGAGTGTGTGTGTGTGTGTGTGTGTGTGTGTGTTTATTTTCAGTTCCAAATCCTCTGTCCCTCTCCCAACCCATTGAAAAAGCAAGAAATATGATATCTTTAATACATATGAAGTCATGCAAAACATCCCCACGTTAGTGCATTGTGGGGAAAAAATGGCAAGAAAAATAAATACATTTATTTCATTTTGCATTTTGAGTCCATGAGTTTTCTTTCTGGAGGTGGATAGCATTTTTCATTGTGAGTCCTTTGGATCGATCATGGATCATTGTATTGATCTGAGTAGCTAAGTCTTTTGCAATTGATTATCATTATAGTATTGCTATTATTGTGTACGATGTTCTCCTGGTTCTGTTCACTTTGCATCAATCCATTACAAGTCTCCCCAGGTTTTTCTGAAGTCAGCCTGTTCATCATTTCTTTCTTTCTTTCTTTCTTTCTTTCTTTCTTTCTTTCTTTCTTTCTTTCTTTCTTTCTTTCTTTCTTTCTTTCTTTCTTTCTTTCTTTCTTTCTTTTTTAATTAATTTTGATTTATCAAAATCACTTCCATATGCTTTTGAGTTTCAAATTTCTCTCTGCCTTCCTCCCCACCACTCTCCCCAAGACGGCATACAATCTGATATAGGCTATACGTATTTTTATTAAACATACTTTCACATTAGTGATGTTGTAAGTAAGAATTAGAACTAATAGGAGGAACCACTAGAAAAGGAAACAAAGCTCAGCAGAAGAAAAAAAATAGCAAATAGTATGCTTCGATCTGCATTCAAACTCCATAGTTCTTTCTTTGGATGTGGATAGCGTTTTCTATCATGAGGCCTTTGGAGATGTCTTAGATCCTTGTATTGCTGGGAAGGGTTAAGTTTACCAATATTAGTCATCTCACAACATGGCTATTATTGTGTACAATGTTCTCTTGATTCTGTTCACTGCAGAGTACCTCAGAGTTCTTTTAATTTGCATTTCTCTAATTAGAGATATAGTGCAGTTTTTCATATGACTATTGATAGCTGTGAGTTCTAAAAATTTATCATTTATTCATTTTTAACATTAATTAAAAATTTTTTTAGTTTTGAATTTTCTCCTCACCCCTGTTCCACCCATTGTGAAGGAAAAAATGTGGTATCAGTTATACATATGAAATTGTGCAAAACATATTTCCAGGTTAGCCATGTTGTAACAAAAAAAAAATCAAAAACAAAAACAAGAAAAATAATGTGAAAAAAATTTGCTTCAATTTGCATTGAAACTCTATCAGTTCTTTCTCTGGAGGTAGATAGTATTTTTCATATGATTTCTTCTTCTGAAAACTGCCTGTTCATATCCTTTGAACATTTTTCAATTGGGGAATGGCTCTTATTTTTATAAATTTAACTCAATTCCCTAAATGTTTGAGAAATGAGATCTTTATCAGAGAAATTTGCTATAAAAATTTCCCCGTTTCTTGCTCTTTTTTTGGGCCACATTGGTTTTGTTTGTGCAAAAACCTTTTAATTTAATGTAATCAAAATTATCCATTTTACCTCCCGTGATATTCTCTGTCTCATGTTTGGTCAAGAATTCTTCCTTATAGATCTGGCAGGTAATTTTTCTGTGTTCCCCTTGTTTGCTTATGAGTACTAGGTTATTTACAAAGTGCTTTTACTTACATTACCTTGTCAGAGTCCCATGATAATCCTGTGAAGTGGTTAGTGCGAATTGTACCCTAGTTTTATAGAGGAGGAGACAGTCTCAGAAAGGTTACTTTCTGCAGGCTCATGCTGGTTTGTGACAGAGTTGGGAGTCCTTGGTAGGACCTCCTGGCTCTAGAGCTGGTCTGTTATACTAACTACGCTGTGACTGCAGGGTCATAGTTGGTGAGATGGAAGAGACCTTGGAGGTGATTCATCTAGTTCAACCCCTCTCTCCCTCTTCTTTGTCAGTAGAGGAGATTGAAAGCCCACAGACATCAAAGTGGCTGATCCAGGTCACACTGATTATAGTAAATGACAGAGCTGGGATCTGACCCCAAAGCTTAGAACTCCAGATCTAGTTTTGTGTCCGGGGCACCATGAGTGGTGCTTCATAGAGTGGTCAGTTTCAGTTACTTGTGTTTGAGGCGGGCTGGTTTTTCCTCAAGTAAACCAACTTAGAGATATACTTGTGAGCCCATTCACAATAACTTGCTCCCCCAGGTTTGGACTGAAAATCACTGAATCCAATCTCTTTCTGCCTCTTTGCTGCAAGCCTCAGATTAGGACAGGAAAAAAATTCTATGGGGGGAGGGAGAAGGCTTGAAAAGAGGAAAAAAAATAGTATTTTTTATTTCAAATCTCTGTCTCTAACTCAGAAGTGCTGCTGATCCTTTCTCATTAATCTTTTCTAACTTTCCAGGGGAGAAAAGGAATAAAGTGTCACAAAACTGATTTTAACCTGGCTGTTTTTTCCTCTTCAATGTGATTAGCCTCCTACCCTCCTTATAGTCAGTCAGTTTATTAATACCTACCATGTGCCAGGCCTCTGGTAGGCACTGAGGATACCCTCCAGGAGTTCACAATCCAGTGGCGAAGACAATAAGCAAACAAGTATACATAGAAACTGTAGATTTATGATAAATAGAAAATGACTAAGAGAGGGAAGGCACTAGAATTAAGAAGGATTTGGAAAGGTTTGGAAGAAGAAGAAGATGGGATTTTAGTTCGAACTTGAAGGAAGCCAGGGAAACCGAGAGGTGGCAGTGAGGAGGGAGAGAGAGGAATGGAGGCTAGCCAGAGGACATGCCTAGAGCTGAGATGTTGATGTCTTGTGGAGGGAACAGCCAGGAGGCCAGTGTCTCCTTATGAGAGAGGGCATAAGCAGGGGGAGCGTCACCTCGAAAGGTGACATGGCTTTTGAACAAACATCTCTCTTTGGTTCTGGATATACCTTTTATGACTGTATTCCTTACTGGAGGCACTGGGTGTTTGAATTCACACCACGTCTCAGCCACTCAACCATATTCTTTCTACTCATCCTCGACATGTTTCATCGCCGGTATGGAAAACATGATCCAGTAGAACCCTAGAGTCATGTTCTCTCTGCCACCCAATTATAGTGGGTCACAAATTATATATTTTTTTTAAATACAGAAACATTTCTCACTGTCCAGTCCAGAGAAGAGCAATATCCAGGAAGAAAAGAAAGAGGCAGTGTCAGAGGAAGAACTTGACAGTGAAGACCTGAATGTGTTTTATCCCACAAACCAATGGCAGACCCTTCAGCCAGGTAATGGGCTTAATTCCAGGCCTAGGCAAAGAGATCTCACACACAAAAAAAAAACCCAAACCCCCAAAAAACCAAACCCTAAAAATATACTTCGAATTGAGCCTGTGTATTCTTTTTGATCTTGAGAGTCCAGTTTTGAAAGGAACAGTTTCTCTTTGGCCTGCAGGAGGGGAATGATGCTGGGTGTGAGGCGGGTGCTGGTGAGGGGGGGCGTGGCAGGGGGGAGGTTCAGGGGAGGTTGAGGGGAGGTTCGTTATCCAGCAGAACAGAAATTCCAGTGTTTAAGTGCCCTGGCAGGCAGGTGGTGGGTGGGCTATGCTTTCTGAGCAAGTGATTGAAAACTTTCTTTCCTTGCAGTTCTAAAGCACAGGAGAGGCAAGGACATGTGCCTCTCTTCGCAAATGCTATTTTGGTCTCTGCTGTTCAGCTCTTTGCTGCCGAAATATTGTTCACTGGAGAGTCCTGAGCATTGGTGCAGGGCAGGATTGTTCTGCGGTTAAAGGGACCTGTGTCTTTCACCTGTTTTAGGTGAAAAGGCGGATTCCACCTTTGAGGTGGACATTGTTTTTAGTTGGAAGGCATCCCCTGAGGTAGAGGAGGCCTCGACCTTCAACCTGGCCTGTGCCCAGGGCCCAGAGAAAATCACATAGTGAGACTGAAACTAAAAAGTTCAACTTCTGTCTCTTCTAGCTCTTTTTACCTTTTAACAGGACTGTGGATCTAGGGGGAGGGAAGCACCCTCAAGTTCCCTTTAATCTTCAGGAAATGGGTTTAGGGATCATCCCCGCACTTAGGGGTAAGCGACCCCCTAGGATGACAACTCAATCTTTTTTTTGTCTTTTTTTCATTGTATAGAATATTTACCCAGAGAAAAAGAATTGGTTTTTTTCCCCCTACTTCCAATTTAGTGTGAATAGTTGGACTTTGAGGAGGAAGAGGAAAAAGTAAGTTGCCATTTCTCATCTGGAACTGGTGGTGTGTCTGGTCTGCTATATCGTTATCTGTTGGATGGGGAAGTGTCGTGGTTGGGCCCAGTTGGATAGATGGTAGCTTTTTTGTAGTTCTGTAGAGAAGGGTTGTACTTATCCATTAAGTGTGATGCAGGTGTGTGCGTGCCTTTGTGTGTGTGTGACTTTGAGCTCTTTCTCACTGGCACTTGTAGTAAGTAGTATATGAGAATCTGTGTAAACATTATTTATTAGTGCCGATTTAATTTTCCTCTTTGTCCCGAGTTTCCCTTTGTATGCTCTTTTGAAACGGGAATGAGAACACTATATGTAGGAACTGTTGATTCAGCCATGGAAATTATATTCTGCAGGTAATAAGGGGCAGTTGCAGTATTGTAGAAGGATCCCTCTTCGGCTCTCATTTTTCACCCCTATGGTTGATACTTTGCTATAATTCTCAGTGTCCTGTGTAGACTCTTCCTCTCAGCTGGAGCGAGGTTGAGTTGAGAGCCCTTATGGTGGCAACAATGTAGTCTAGCCAGTGGTCCATTGTCCCTGGTTCTTGTTGAGTCCTTGCTTACTATAATTCTCTGTGCCATAGCAGTCATCAGTGTTTACTTTGCCATCTTGTTACATTTGTAAGAATATAGCTCATGCTGAGCCTACAGGCAATTCTTATAATGGAGCAATGATGAAGCAGCAAGCCCAGACAATTGAGGACAGAGCTAATGCTGGGTGAGGTCATGTTTCAGGAACTAACATGTTGGATCCTGGAGCTCCTCTGACTTTATATTCCCTGCTTTTTGTGGTGCTGATTTTCAGTTGGGGGCAGGAGGGGAATGAAGGGGACTCTTGGATCATAGCTGGACAACAGCGTGATGTTCCTGCAAATGCAAATGACAAGGTCATATTTTGTCCAAAGAGTTGAATACCTTGAAGAAATAGAAATGAATATCTCTTCTCTGCCCCTCAGGAATACAAGGTGGCTTTATAACAGAGAAATAGGAAACAGCCTCATTGTGCCCTTATAACATGTCAGCTTTAACATCTGGGGTCTATCTATTTCCTTCAGTCTTATAAAAAGTTGATCCAAACCCTGTTTTTCATTTAGTCTGGAGCTTTGTGCCACCTTGACCCTACACTCTTGTGTTCTAATTTCTCAGAAGTCCTTAACAACTTTTCCTTTCTGTGGTTTTCTTTACAGCTTTCTAATAGGCTACAGGCCTTTATTTTTACCGGGATCCTCAGAAGTTAGGGATTGAAGTATGAACTCTAGAATCACAGAGGTGAAGCACTCTTCATTTTGTGTCTTCCTATTCCTGTCATGCCTGGCGTGATCTTACCTTGCTGTCTGCCCATCCTGAAGAGTTCTTTAGCTGTACGGAGAAAAGTAGAGGCAGTGGATGAAGCTGGAGAGCGCATAGCCTTGGGACACTCTCAGTGTCTGTGTTACCTTGGGAGGGTCTCAGTGTTTACAGATGGAAGCGTGCTAATAAAGAAAGGTCCTTTTAAGTAAGAGCATATTTGAGGTGGGTAACAAGCTGTGAGGTCCATTGGGGACATAAATTTGCAGTAAATTGGAACCTCTTATATGTGCATTCACTCTATGTGGCCCCCCCCTTCTCTGTAATCAAAATGTAATTATGAACTTTACATTCAGAAATCTTCTTGGCAGCGATCAACAGAACTGTCTTCCTCTGGGGAAGTGGAACTGACTCAAGTGAAGGAGAATAGCTCATCCCACTGGAGACCACTGTAAACTCCATGCTTGATGGACTAAGTAGGGAAATTTTCTCCTGCTTAATCCTCAGGCTTCACTCTCAATTTAGGGATCCCAGAAGATGGTCATGTGATCTGAAACTTTCAAGGAAACATGAGGGTCAGTGAGTTCTGTGGCATAGAGGTAAAAACGTGTGTGGTGGTCATCAGTTATTCTTTCTTTCCCTGAGGGGAGAATGAAAGAATAGGGTTAAATGTAAGCAGGAAAAATTCAGGCTGTTTTTAGATTCTACAAAGGACTCTTCTTGCAGTGGTTGTGAGACTCAGGTTACTGAGTCTGTTGTTGAAGGAGTCTTATTAAATGATTTTTAAAAGAGTAAATGACTGGTGTGTAGTATTGCCAGAAGGCTAGGGATTCAACTGGATGACCTCCTGAGGTTTCTGTCAGTTCTATTATTCCATGAATTTAGTTCTAACTTTGTATCTCTAAGCCTATTATAATAGCCTGAGGACATACTGAAGCAAATAGTTGCTCCTACTATGCCACAGTCTAAGAAAGCTGATTTCCCTGGAAAATAAAGACTAGATATGAGAAATAGAGGTAGGCTGTGGTCAGTGTTATGTTCATGGGGAAGAACCTCACCATACTTCCTGTGGCCCCAAACCTCAGAGACTCCAACAACCTGCAGCATCACCCTTCAGAGGGTATACCTGGAAATCTTCCCCCATCCATTCCCCTTGTCATTGTATCACCAGAACACTTCTGAAAAACAATTTCTGACATTCAAGTAAGCAGCCTCCTCCTGTTTTTTCTTGTTCCTGGAAGTGATTTTCCTTACTTTTCTGGTTTATTTTGGGAGCTGTCTCACCTAACAGAAAGTGTTTGAGTGTAGATAGAGTGTGAGACATTCACAGTCATGAGGAAGGACTGTGTAGTGCTTACTTTCAAGGGGTGCTGAGTATAGAGTAGCAGCCTGAATGACATTTGTCCCAAGACTTGACATGCCAGCTGGGGTCTTACCATGGTGTAGAGTATAATGGGATTATTAGTTACCGTACCTTTCAATGAAGCCTAAATTTGCGGGTTTTTTTGTTTTTGGTTGCCGAATTACATAGTTGGCTCACTGAGTCTTGCTGTCCTCTAAAAAACACAGTTTTTTTTTTCAGATGAACTGCTTTCTGTTTGGTGGTCCTTCCTGTCTTGTACTTTGACATTAATTTTGTTTTGAACATGGGTTTTACATTTATTCCTGTTAAATCCATCTAAATATATTTAGTCCAACATTCTAGCCTCTTGGTCTTTTTTGGATCCATATGTTCATCCTTTGGGTTAGCTTTTCCTCTCAGTGGTTTGTCTTTTGCAGATTTGATAAGCATGCCTTTATCATCTTAAGTCATGGATAAAAGTATTAAACAGCTCCGAGCCAAGGACAGATCTTTGGGTGCATTCAACTAGAGAGACTTCCTTACATGCTGACATTGAGCCATTAACAACTACTGTTTGGATCTAGTCATTCACCAGATTTTGAATTTTTCTCACTGTACTTCTAGCCCATATATATCCATCTTGTCCACAAGGGTAGCTCGAGAGATTTTGTCAAATGCTTTACTCAGATCTAGATAAGCTACTGTACATATTTACAGCATTTCCTGATCTATCAGTCTAATTACCTGTCCAGAAATGTAATCAAATTAGTCTTCTGTCTTGTCTTCTTCTTGACGAAGCCATGGTGGTTCTTTGTTTTCACTGCTTTCTTTTCTAGCTGTTCACTAATTATCCCTTTAATAATATATTCTAAAATTTTTACCAAAAATCAGATTCACACTAACTGGCTTCGATTTTGCACATTTCACTCTTCCTATTAGAATATGAACTCATTGAGAGCAGGGGCTGCTTTTTTGCATTTCTTTGTGTCCATAGAACTTAGTGCAGTGCCTGACACATAGTAGGTGCTTAATAAATGTTTGTTTGACTTCCCTCTTTGGAAAAAATGGAACACTTGCCCGTATCCATATTCTAGTGGCTCCTATACTATTCTTCATCATCTTTGAAAAATGATGAATAAGTGCTTGCTGTAATGTGTTGATTTATTTTGATTAACTCTCCTTTTTGCTAGGGAGAGTTCTATTGAGGAGTGAGGGGGTATCATTGGGAAGTGAGCTGATGTTATAAAAAAGTTATTAAAAAATCCTTTTAAAGCCTACTAACAGAGACTTAGCAGTTAGTACTTTAGGATGTATTTCATCTGGGTCTGATGACTTGAATTCATCAAGGGCAATTAATTCTTTTATCTTCTTATGTATTGGGTTTTAACTTCCTATTAGCTATTTTTCTTCTGTCCTTTACAGTCAAAAGATGATTCTTCTTAGAGAAAACAGAAACAATCATTCATTATCATTGTCCCATATGTCCTGAGTAGTGGTCTTGTCTCTTTGATTATCCTTGTTTTAAAAAACAAAAAACAAAAATATATATATATATACATGCATATATACACCCCTATATATATGTATCTATCAATAATTTCCAACATAGCTATTAAAAGCCCTTGTTTTTGTTGTTGCCTTAGCATATTTTGCAAGCTTCAGTTCAACCTGAGATTTAGTATTTCTAGCATTATCTTACACAGAGTATTGGCCGCATTTTGTATTCAAAGCCTCTTTGCAGGCACAAGCGTGATGTGGTAAGTTCATGGTCAGGGGCAGCAGCTGCTTTGTCCCTCAGCTCAGCCTTGGGTGAGCACTAGTAAAGCCTGCTGGTCTTTTAGCAAGACTTGTCAGTCCTGATAACTCCTACTGTCCTTTTGGCAGTTTGCATGCTTACAAATCATATTGCCCTGAGGAATTTCAAAAGCAGTCTTAGAGATTATGAGCTACTGGGCAAGAGAGTGAAAATATTAGTGACGTAAGTGGTATTTTTCATCTCTACTGCCCATAAGAACCCACTATAGATTTATGCGGTCTAATCACAATTGGGCCCTCACAATAAAAGGCAGTCCTGCAACTTCTTCCTATTTGATTCCCTATCCAATTCAACAACATCCCTCCCTGAGGATCTCACCTTAAACTCCTCCTCCCACTCCCTAATTGCAGCCTTGCTATACTAACTTCTGCTGCCACAAATCCCATCAGTGCACAGATCTTGTGATTTCCTTCTTCACAACATCCCCTTCTTTCCATTTCCTTCATCACTGCCCTAGTTTAAACCCTCACTCCCTTTTGCCTGTACCATTTTGCATTTGTCTTCTTATTCAACTCCCAACCTCAAATTTCTGTCCATGACAGTCTGTCTTCCATGATAGCTGCCATTATGAATTTCCTAGAATATAGGTCAGGCCATATTGTGTCTCTCCCCCCCCCCCCCCCGAACTTCAGTGGTTCCTTAGCACCTTTAAATAGGAGCTCCTTTGTCACTTGAAACTCTTAAACTTCTTGGCCCCTTCTTTTTTCAGTCATGTTATACATAACTCTCCTTCATGCAGGTTGTGTTCCAGCTATACTGGCATACTTGGTGCTCCGCACCTGTTAGCTCAGGCCCTCTGTCTGTGTTTTTTGGGACTAGCTTTTTGTCAAACTCAGAAGGCTCTCCCTTCTATCCTCACCTCTTAGAAGACGTGGCTTCCTTTAAGACAACTTCAGCAAAACCTTCTACTGGAGGCCTTTCCTAGGCTTTCAAGTTTCTGGTGCCTTCCCCTGTAAGGCTACCTCATGTCTTTTATGTAGGTATCTTATGTGCACTAATTTATGTACATGTTGTTTCCTGCATTAGGATATAAGCTCCTTGCAGGTAGGCCCTGTTACAGTTTTTTCTTTGTATCTTTTGCAGTTAGCACAGTGTCAGGAACACAGTAAGTATTTTAAAAATGCTTATTGATTTGTTGATTTGTTTGGGATGTTGTTTATCTTGTTCCACATAAATGACTTGGAAAAACAGCAGACCTCTCACTTCAAGTCAAAATGAGTTCATGATTTAGATATAAAGGCTGATACTATAAGCAAACTGGAAGAGCAAGGAATAGATTACCTGTCAGATTTATGGAGAACAGAAGAATTCATGACCAAACAGGAGATAGAGAACATTACAAAATGTAAAATGGATAGTTTTGATTACATTACATTGAAAACTTTTTGCACAAACAAAGCCAATGCAACCAAGAGTAGGAGGGAAGTAGAAAACTGGGAAAGAATTTTTGCAACCAGTGTTTCTGATAAGCTCTTCATTTCTAAAATATTTAGAGAATTAAGTCAAATTTATAAGAATACAAATGATTCCCCAGTTGATAAATGGTCAAAGGATATGGACAGGCAGTTCTCAGATGAAGAAAATAAAGCCATCTGAAATTAAAAGAAGAAATTAAAGCCATATGAAAAAATGCTCTAAATCACTATTGATTAGAGAAATGCAAATCAAAACAACTCTGAGGTACCACATCACACCTATCAGAGTGGCCAACATGACAAAACAGGAAAATGATAAATGTTGGAGAAGATGTGGGAAAACTGGAACACTAATGCACTGTTGGTGGAGTTGTGGAATGATCCAACCATTCTGGAGAACAATTTGGAACTATGCCCAAAGGGCTATAAAAATGTGCATACCCATTGACCCAGCAATAGCACCTCTAGGGCTATATCCCCCAAAAGAACATACAAATGGGAAAAGGACCCACATGTACAAAAATATTTATAGCAGCTCTTTTTGTGGTGGCAAAGAATTGGAAATTGAGAGGACGCTCATTAATCAGGGAATGGCTGAACAAGTTGTGGTATATGAATGTAATGGAATACTATTGTGCTGTAAGAAATGATGAACAGGCTGACTTCAGAAAAACCTGGAAAGACTTGTATGGTCTGATGCTGAGTGAAGTGAGCAGAACCAGGAGAACGTTGTACACAGTAACAGCCATGTTGTGCGAAGACTAATATTGGTAGATTTAGCTCTTCTCAGCAATGCAAGGATCTAAGACATCTATAAAAGCTTCGTGATGGAAAATGCTATCCACATCCAAAGAAAGAACTGTGGAGTTTGAATGCAGATTGAAGCATACTGTTTGCTACTTTTTTTCTTCTGTTGTTTTGTTTCTTCCTCTTTCTGGTGATTTGTCCTATTGGTTCTAACTTTTCCTTACAACATCACTGAAAATATGTTTAATAGGAATGTATAGGTATAGCCTATATCAGATTGTGCACCGTCTTGGGGAGGGAGGTGGGAAGGGAGGGGGAGAAAAATGTATAACTCAAAAGCTTATGGAAGTGATTGTTGATAAATCAAAATAAATTAATAAAAAAATTTAAAAAAAAACAAAAAAATTTTTATTGACGTCTTTTAAAAAAAATATCACTTACATTTTTCAAAATGACCTCTCCCAATCCCAGAGAGCTAAGTAACAAAGAATGATAAAAGAGCTCAGCAAAACTAACCAACACATCGACCAAATTGACAGTAGGTATATTGTTCCTGGACCCATAGTCCTCCTACTTCTTCAGAGAAAGGGAGTGGGTGGGAAGAAGTGCATTTTTATAGCTCTTCCTAAGCCAACCTTGGTCTTTATAATTTCACAGCATTCACTTTGCTTGTTTTGGATTTTGTTTCAAAGATTTTAGGTGCTGGCATTCCAACACCTAGTGTGTTGGACTTGGAGTCAGGAAGACCTCAGTTCCAGTCTTGCTTCTGATACTTTTTTAAAGTTTTTTTTTAATTTTTGATTTTTTTTATAGATTGTTATTTTTTTACAATTTATTTAAATATTTATTTTTCATTTTCAACATTTACTTCCACAAGATTTTGAGTTACAAATTTTCTCCCCTTCTCACCCCTTCCCCCACCCCAAGATGGACGGTGTGTACTCTTCCCGTAATCTGTCCTCCCTTCTATCACCTCCCCCCGCCCCCTTCTCTTATCTCCTTCCCCTTCTGTTTACCTGTAGGGTAGGATAGATTTCTATATCACATTGCCTGTATATCTTATTTCCCAGTTGCATGTAAAAATAATTTTTAACATTTGTTTTTAAAACTTTGGGTTACAAATTCTCTCCCTTTCTCCCTCCCCACCCTCATTGAGAAATCAAGCAACCCGATACAGTTTATACATGTGTAGTCACGCAAAACACTTTCATGATAGTCATGTTGTGAAAAACTAACTATATTTCCCTTCATCCTATCCCCCCCCATTTATTCTATTCTCTCTTTTGACCCTGTCTCTCCTCAGAAGTGTTTATTTCTGATTACCTCCTCCCCCAATCTATCCTCCCATCTATCATCCCTCCCCCTTTTCTTATCCTCTT